AAAGATACGTGAGGCTCTTCAAAAAAACCTTGTTCTTTAAAGCTTGTGTAGAGAGATTTATGAGTTATTCTGCACGTTAGATAAGACATTATCAAAAAGAGTTTTGAATGCATTAATCAAGGTCCAAGGTTGAAAACTTATTACTGGAAAACGCCAAGGAATTTCATCATGCAATTCTCTATAATTGTGAGAAGTTTTTTTTTCAGAGCGTCATTACCTTGAGTCAAGAGAATATTCTCTTGCCTTGAGTATTATTTCTCTATCTACCAGACTACCAGAGTAACACTAGAGACCATTTTGCTTAAGGCATAAGTTTTCTAATTTTAGACCAAAGCCATTCCATTGAATATTATTTCTCTATCTACCAGAGGACTAGAGACTATTTTCTTTTAGGTATAGATTTTCTTATTTTAGACCACATGTCATTCCCTTGAGTATAATTTCTCTATCTACCAGAGTATTCTACTCTAGGCACAAGACTCGTTATTACAAGTCACGCGTCATTCCCTTGAGTATTATTTCTAAAAACGTCACGAAAACTCTAATACCGGCGGAGCTCAATAAAGCATCTAGTCTCAATTCCAACAGGTAAGAAACTTCCTTCTCTTTCATTTCCACTTCTTATTTTCTTCATATCTTTTTATTTTGTTTTCCTTCTCAAAATAAGGTTTTTCTCCCTCCACAAAAATTTCAATTCGAAGTTCCAAGTTTAAATATGAGAACCACAGGATTGTAAGCAACTATGAACTAATTGTTACCCCCGCCGTTAAGCAAACACTATTTTCTACATTTTCTTCCTCAAAATCCCATTTTTCTTCCGGGTTTTTTTTTTTTTTTTTTTTTTTNTGTTTATGTTTATTAATTTTTTTCTTCTTATTTTTTTAAAACTATTTAATCATTTCTTTCTCAAAATCCCATTTTTCTTCCGTTTTCTTTCGATTCATCTTTTCTCTCCTCTCTTCTCTTCATTATCTATTTCTTTCATGCTTTTTTCTTCTCATTTTCTTTCGACTTCCTGTGAACACTTATGGCTTTCCGCCTCTCTTGACCTTCTCCTGTTCTTTCCTGTTACAGTTCCTATTCAAGCTAGAAAAATAAACTTTTTTATGTTATTACGTGTCTTTGGTCTTACAGCTGTGCACCACCTACCATCTATACGATGCGATGATAGTGATAAAAGTCTTCAAGCATAGATAACACGGTCAATAAACTATACGACAAGTAGTCTCCTTGGGGAGGGGGATGGGAAGAAGCTTGAACATGCAGAGTTCTTTTGATGGATGGATGGATGGATGTGTGGGTGAATGAGTGGGTGAGAGAGTGGATGGATGGACGGACGGATGGATGGATGGATGGATGGATGGATGGATGGATGGATAAAGGTATTTCAGTTATCATATCATACCTAGGCCTAACCTCACGAGATCCACGTTCAGAAATGTTAATTTTTATGAAGGGAAAAAACAACGGAAAAAAAAAAAACAAAACCAGAAGCCTTTCAAAAATCAAAATCAAATGCCAAAAAAAGTCTTCATCTAATCGTTTTCTAATCGTTCCATCCCTGGTATATTAAAACAAACGTGAAAGTAATGAGAAAAACGAAGTTCATTAATGTAATTACCAATTAGCATTTTTAAATACATTATTGTAACCCATGCCTCAAGTTATTCAATTTAACGTTAATCATATATCAAGACATGTATGTGGAATAATCATGAGTTTATATTGATTCTGGAATACCAAAGTTATTATTAATCCAGTTAGTGATAGAACTGAAGAAAGAAAGTAACCAAGAACGAACGAACGAACGAAGAAAGAAAGCACTAACAACAAAAACAAGTTTAATCAAAACAAAGGAAATAATGTAAGTTATTGATGAACAAAGTGGTTGATAGTAAACGCGCTTGTCGTGTGTAAAGACGAATGAAGGAACAAAACTAAATAAATTAAATTAAAACCGAACGTAATGAAAAATACAAAATCTATCCCTCCACGAAAGTTACGAAAACACTTTGAACAAATTTTCCCGCCAAAATTCTAAAATAAAGAAAAACAGCTATTAATATACCCATTCACTTAGATTCATAGTGGTTATCGAGACAGGGGGTAGGTGTCCAATGTTTCTTTCATTTTATCTTTGACTTCAAGACATCCAATCTTTGTTCATACGTTTAACTGTTCGTCAGGAAAGAAAGCGTCGGCGACCATCGTTTGACAGCGGTGGCCATTTGATCAGAGGGGTCCAGATTGACGAGGGATTAAGTTTCGTGTTATATGCAGTCGCTGTCTACACGCGATCCTGATGGCCATCCAGTTGTCTTAACGTAAAACGGTTTCAACAGGAGATACCAGCTTAGCTTTGAAGCGACAAAACAAATCTAAAAATTAGTTCCAAACTATAAAAGAGAAATAGAGCGTAGATATTTAAATAATACAAAACAGTTGTTCGACTTTAGTGGCAAAAATATAACAGAACTAAATAATTTATATTACTGCAAAGAGACCAATGGTTTAAAGACACCATTAGCTAGACCTGAAGCCATATATATATCTGAAGTTATCAAATGACGGCCGTTAGGAATGATGTGCTTAAAAATCCTCTAGGGAACGTCAGTCAACGTGTAGAGGAACCGTGAGTGTACTTTTAAAAGTGGAAATGTATAATGGAGGTAAAAGAGACAGGTGATAAAAACTGAGCGATTATTTACTGTGTTTTGTCTATTGGAGAGAGAAAATTTTTTTTGGAATTATGTGGAATTACATTCAAAGTAAATGGAAAGAATATCTTCTGTTACAATGGTTGCGGGTGTATTGCGTCGTATTTAGGATGCAACGAATTAGTCTAAAGTTTGAGGATCGAGAAGGAAGGAAAGAAAGTAAGGAAGAAAGAGAGAGAGAGAGAAAGAAAGAAAGAGAGAAAGAAAGA